AATGTATATACTATACCAAACCAATAATAATATTCCCATGACATTTAGGGGTTAAAATGACAAAAACAGCATGGGATTTATGAAGGGGGCCCTTGAAAATTTTCACGCTTGTAAGGGGTCCCCAGACACAAAACGTTTGAGAACCCTTAGTGTAGATAACCAAAATTTCTATCAAAGTATTTGTTCTTTGCTACTGTACCTCTCTGTAATGTAGGATGATGATAAAGCCATGTATGAAGTACCATGGCCCAATGCTTCTTAACCAAAACCATTCGTCATCTTCATTGCTTCTAATTTATTTACTCTCATGTTCAATATTTTGTCAAAAATATCTAATAATTTAACCCTTTAAATGAGATTTCCTGTTATATTAGCTTTGTATAAAATATTGGTAGAATATAGGATAAAATGGAATAAATTGTGTTTTTCTTAATAAATGTGTCCACAGAGAAGATAACAGCAAACATTCAGTTACTTTTGTGATCCAGACACATATACAGGGAAGAACACACAACTAGATGTGTCACAGAAAGGTTGCATTTATTAAACTTCTTTTTGAATTAAAACTTTGCCTGCTGTAGCTAATTCCCAAAGCTTAAGGCCACAAATTAATAAAGATGGGCTTTTGTTCCTTTGGAGCTCCAGCAGGGAGAAAATGAAAGCTCCTCATTCACACTGGACCACATTCGAAGGTCTCCGAGGATAACAGAAAAGCAGATATGTTTTTTTTTTAATGGAACCAACTTCAATTAGCAAAATTGGTGTTGCTTATCTTTGTGTCTTTTTAAAATGATGATAAAGCAGCTTTGGTTTCCTATTGTGGCTGAGCTTGTAGTAGTTGTGAGGCAATGGCCAGCTAGTTCACATAACGACTTTTTTAATACATACAGCAATTATTTCTAAATTAATGGCTGTTTATTTTTAATGCTGTTAAAGTATGTTATAATATATTCAAATGAAATATTATGTAATAGCTTTTTTCTTATATTAAAGAAATAAAATGCAGAAATATGATTCTATGTTGATGACATAGGGCCGGGGTCTGCAACCTTTACGATCAAAAGAGCCATTTCTGCTGCTTGTTTCACTGATAAAATGTGTCCAGAGCCGCAAAACAAGCTACAACTGTGATTATCAACTGGTGGTCCGTGTGCATTTTCATGGTCTTTTCGGGAACCTTTACGGCCAATGGAGATGACATTATAAAACTAAAGAGTATATTGTGAATTTTTTTATTTACTATTATTGTTACACATCAGGACAAATGAAAATACCAGATTCATGTAAACAAGAAAAATACTGTATGTAGTTTATATCCAATTTCATAAAAACTAATACCAATGAACTATTCAGGCATRTGTTTCYCTAATTTTTATCATGTAGTCTTCACATTCTTTAAAGGTAATTCTATGGTTTCKAGAGAAAGAAGTTGAATTATTTAAGTAAACAACAYAGCAYGAGCTAACATGTTTTACTTTTTGTATTAGTAGTATTAATCAAGTTTTTGCATAAAAATGATTTCTGCTGTGAGTATAAAAACAAAACAAAACAAAACAAAAAATATTCTGTTATGTTTGGTCATGTTTTCAAAGAGCCACTGCAGAGAGACCAAAGAGCCACATGTGGCCCCAGAGCTGCAGGCTGCAGACCCCTGACATAGGGGGATTGATTTGCAGATACAGTAGTTAAATATTTTGGCAGTGAGAAAAAGAGTAAACCCAAAATATAAATTTATCAGGACAGCYTTAGAATCCTTCTGCTTTTCCATTTGATGAAGCTACCTGCACAATTCCTTTTCCGAGGTATTTGAGACAGTGGCCCTGGAAATGTGGAGCTCTTCAAAGTATTGTTAATCCCCTGGGCATAATGAAAAACAGAGATCTACAGCCAGAAATTCCACACTCTCTGAATTTCTCAGAGAGAAGATAAAGGAAAAAAAATACTGGATGAAATCCACTCTCATGTGGCAGGTTGCATAAGCAGTGGAAACTTAACTCGAGGACAAACCTCTCTCTGTCTGTGCTTTGAATACCAAACGCTCTGAGGGAAAAGGTGGGATGGAAGGACAGACAGACAGAAATAAAGACAGGGATGGAGACAGAGTGAGCAGTCTGAGTGCACACCATCCGCCAACTAGTGTTTAAAGGTTTAGGAGTTCAGAATCAGCCAGGCAATTCCTCCTGAGCTCCGGGAAGAAAAGTGCCCAAAGCCCCCTGTTGTTTTCAAGCCAAGAACGAGCACTTTCTTAAAAACAACAAAAAACAAAAAAACAAAAACAACAACACCTCGCCTACATAAGCAACAAGCTGAGGCTGTGGTTGATAACACCAGACCAAACTCTTAAAAGAATTTAAATTCTCTAAAGGTTAAAAGAGGCCACAGGTGATTTCTTATTCATAACTATTCTCCATCACTCACTGCAGAGTCTTCATGTGCATTTACTGCAGTAACCTCTCCTTTGATGCACAGTGAAAAGGATAACTTCTAATAAATAGTTCTATTTCATCCCTACTGACTGCCAGAGGGCGGTGCTAAAAGCACTGAATGTTSCCTTCGCGCATGYGCCGTTCGAGCTGTAATACCAACAGAGTCACACCTGTGACCAATCAGATGACTAATCAGAGGCTATATAGCTTGACGTCATCTGAAGCTCTGTTCCTCTTTTCTTCTCGCATACGGTTAGTTTCTTTTGTGGAATATTTTGCCGTCGTTTGGATGTCCTGATTACCAGTTGGCTGGAGTAGCGGTGTATCGCTCTCCAAGGGGCTGCGACGGACTTGTCATCAAAACAAAGAGGTATTCGCTGTTTTGTTGGGGTGACGGCGTTTTTCGCCTGGTTCCCCAACTTGCAGCGTTTCTTTTTCTTATCGCTGTTGCTAAGTTTGATGAGTGAATTTGTTGGTGAATGGCAGCGTTGGTAAATGGTAAATGGTACTGAACTTATAGAGCGCTTTTCAAGTCCCTCCGGACCCCCAAAGCGCTTTACACTAACAGACATTCACCCATTCACACTCACATTCACACACTGATGATGGCAAACTACACTGTAGCCACAGCTGCCCTGGGGCACACTGACAGAGGTGGGGCTGCCATGCATCGGCGCCACCGGACCCTCTGACCACCATCAGTAGGCAAGGTGGGTGAAGTGTCTTGCCCAAGGACACAACGACTGAGACGGCTGGACGGGGGATTGAACCAGTGACCTTCTGGTTCCAGGACGACTCCCCTAACCACTCCGCCACAGCCGCCCCGCGTTCTTGTCCCCTCTCCCAACTCATTCAGCTTGAGTTTTGATTAGTTGATCCTGGAGTTTCTTCAATCTCTCCTCGGTAAGGGCCACTCTCCATCAACACTTAAGGTATATGTGGCAGCAATATCATCTAATCATGCTGTCGTTGATGGTAGTACAGTTGGAAGCCATAACCTGGTTTCTCTTTTTCTGCGTGGCACTCGCAGGTTGCACCCGCCAACAGTTCTGCGGGCACCTGCTTGGGATCTGCCCTTGATCCTCGAAGCCCTGCGCCACCCTCCCTTCGAGCCTTTGCTTCAGGCTGACCTCAAGTGGTTCTCGTGGAAGACAGCATTTTTATTAGCTATTGTCTCAGCTAAAAGGGTCGGCGAGCTACATGCTCTCTCTGCCAGCCCGCCATGTCTCAAATGGGCCCCAGATAGCTCTGGTGTTACCTTGTGGCCAAACACTGCATTTGTCCCTAAAGTTTTTTCGCATTCCCATTGTAACCAGCCACTGAGATTGGCGCATTTTCAGCCCACATCAGGAGGGACTGGCGATAGGCCTGGCATATTGTGCCCAGTGAGGGTGTTGGAGACATATATTGCTGCTACTGCTCCTATAAGACGCTCAGACCAGCTGTTCTTATGTTATGGAGGCCCTAGATTAGGCCATCCCCTTTCAAAACAGCATCTATCCCACTGGACTGTGGATGTCATCTGCCACGCCTACAGGGCAGAAGGCTGTTCCCTGCCAGTCGGGGTGAAGGCACACTCAACCAGGAGCATTTCCACTTCCTGGGCGGCCCTGAAAGGGGTCCCACTGGAAACAATATGTGCTGCGGCATCATGGTCTTCTTCAAGCACATTCACTAGATTTTATAATGTGAATGTGGCTTCTCCTCACCCTTTGGGACAGGTTCTTTTACAAGGGTCCTCTGGGCCTTCTCAGTGAGGTAGGTGCTCAGGATTCCTTGTGACATCGCTGGTATTAGTCATTCAGTGCTTTTAGCACCGCCCTCTGGCGGTCAGTAGGGATGAAATAGAACGAAAGTTACGTATGTAACTACGGTTCTATGAATCCTGAATGACCGCCAGAGCTTCTCTGTCACTCAGAATCCTTGCATTTGCGAGAAGATTCTGTAGGAACAGAGCTTCGGATGACGTCAAGCTATATAGCCTCTGATTAGTCATCCGATTGGTCACAGGTGTGACTCTGTTGGTATTACAGCTCGAATGGCGCATACACGAAGGGAACATTCAGTGCTTTTAGCACCGCCCTCTGGTGGTCATTCAGGGTTCATAGTACCGTAGTTACACACATAACTTTCGATTTCTATAAGTAAGAAAMTGAAAGGCTGCACTGAAGTTCACCTGTTGCTCTACTGTTTGTAAGATCTGCAATGAAATATGAAGAGAAAAAGTAAAGGTGAATTTCAGCACCAATAAAGCTGTTTAGTCCTTTTCATACTTGTGCAAAAAAAAAGGAAAAAAAGAAAAAGGAAAAAGAGTCTAAAGTACATAAAAGCTGTTTCAAAATCTTGAAATATTTAGCTTAAATCTTGCTCTTTATTTCATATAATTCCTCTCATTTTCAAAGCAGTAGTTCTGCAGATTGCCACTACTGTATTTTAATGAGCCATGAAATCTGAGGCTCCTAACTAAAATTCTATAAATTATATATAAATATCTTAAGTTCTCTTTGCCACGAGTTAATTAACTGCAATAAAAACAAATGGGGAAGAAAACAGACTCACATCTTTCCACAGAATTTGCTGACTGCTGGATTGACTGCTGGCTTCCATGATGCAACCATTCAAAAGGAATCTTTCCGAAGCTCTTAGTTAGGGAAAATACCAATGCTTTTTGGAAGGCAAAGCCTCTGAGCTTCATTCCACTGCTATAATTTGAGGGGTGTGCTAAAAGGGAGGAGTCTTTCAGATGGAGTGGAATTACTGAAACATTTGTGATACCCATTAAAGCAAAACCGATGTCCCTCCTGCTGACCCGCTCCTGTTTGAATGGTGAGAAACTTAGAATAATTCTGGTCTGAAAAAAATGACCTTTTGTTGAATAAATTCCAAACCATATGGAAATGATTCTTCTGCACAGACTCTCTCATGTCTCACTGTCTTAGAAAACAAAGTTTTAACACAAAAACAGTTTTATTATACTTCTGTATTGATGTATAAACAGTTTATCGTTTTCTTCTTCTTTTCTTTCAGAAACTTCACAAAGATTTCAAATATCCCTCACCGAGTCGGCACACTCAAAAAGACAAAGAAAAGAAAACAGGTCAAGTAAACAACAGTCAATGACTAAATAACTGTGTGACAAAATCATCAGCTTTTGATATTAAAGGAATTCACACTCGTGCACAAAATGAAAGAAAAGGGGAAAATGATTGAGACTGGTATCTGAGGACGAAAGTTTACAGGTCAAAACACAAAGGCAAAATAAAAAAAAATACTTTCTTCAATGAAAAACTGGTTGTTGAAAAGAAAAGAAAAAAATCTTTTAAAAACTTGCTTCTGGTTAAAATCCTGAAAGTGTTATTCTCAGAACATATTTACAAAGAATTTATAAATTGTCAGATTCACATATTGGACTGTTGATTTTGTTATTGTGATGTCACCTTTTTCTGGGTTCAAACGAGGCTCCATCCTTCCATCCATCCGTCCATTTGTCCGTCCGTCCATCCATCCATCCATCCATCCATCCATCCATCCATCCATCCATCCATCCATTTTCAGGCATCATATAAACCAATTTCTTTTATTGTTCATATGTTTTTTCTTAAAAGGAGACATATCATGCTAATTCTTTCTTTTCACATTTAAATCATTCTGTTGAAGTCTATATAAAGTGGCACTTCAATGCTTTGGTCTGAATTCYTCCTTATTGTAACTCCACAAGCCCCTCTTTCACCCCTTTTCAGATYAACTCGTTTTGAGGCTGTCTCTTCAAATCCAAACGAGGCGCTTCACATTCCACCCTCCCTCCACATTACATACTGGTCCATTCTAGTTTGATAGAGGGGTCAATGACTATATAGCACTGTAGAAAACCTTTTATTTACACATTAATTAAAGGTTAACAACAGAAGACTTGTCTTTCCAGCCTTACATGCTGGAGCCAGAGTCTGACCCAGAGAAGAGAATGAAGACGACCAAATMGTTTTTGGTAAATCCAAMCCTTTTYTTAACAGATCTATTGTAAATAATTTGACATRATAGTTCAGAAAATTTAACAGAAAAGAGGAAAAACTGAACGAGTTGAAAAATAYGACTCAAACAGAAAATAAAGACATCTAYGCAGCACTGGTAGAAACTAAATTCAAATTACCTGCACTCCTGGTAGTTCCTTGTTTATTTTTCCTGTTGAAGAAATTTATTAGTTATTTAGATACTGATTCAAAAGCACTACACCATTTTGTAGTTTTTCTTATTAAGTATTGATTCATATTAATTATTGTGTAACTATTGTTGTGTCTTGGTTAAAATAGTTTTAGTTACATGCCCAAAACACCATAACAACACATATAGAAACTGTTAAATGAACACAAGGAAAGTCATTTTGAGTGCCTGTGACTCAGCCGTAGKCCTGTAGGGGGCGTGCCAGACACTGACGAACCATGTTAAAAGGGGGGCACTTCCGGTTTCCCGGCAGCGCTGGTTGTTGCTTCAGCCGTAAGCAATAAAATCACTGTTCAGACCCAGTAYTGGTGTTGTATGGTCCACTCTCTTTACATTTTATTCTATTCAACATTCATGCKGTTTATGMCTGGGTAAGATCCGRTTTCAGWAAATGAACACTAAATTTTCTTACACTGTAAAACCTGGTTTCCATGGTTTCTGTTGACACTCAGCTGTTGTTCTCCTTGATACATATTTGTTTAACAGATTTTTGTCCTCAGTTTTGCTGTTCCCATTAAGTGTCTTGCCTCCATGTTCTTTTTTTTTTTGGCCCTTTATCAATTTCTTCAACATGAACTTTGTTTTGTTTTGTGYTTGTTGTTAGCATCAACATTTAACATCTGTCTGTTTTTGTTACTTCACCATATTTTTTAATATTTGTGGATATGTTTTATAAGTTTAATTGCATTTGTCATCTCATTTAATTGTATCATAAGTTTCCTTGTATTTACATTGATTTATATGCAGTTAGTTTCTAATGACTACTCTGCTYTCATCTGTTCTTTGATTTGATTTGATTTATTTATTTAACAGGAAAAGACTATTAAAAATCAAGCCTGACTCAGCATAATTGCTATTTTACAGCAGGTTCCTGTTCTGCAGCACATAAAACACTCAGAATTACAGCATCACAATCACATCATTAT